GGCTAATTGGCCATCATTTTCTGCTTCATATGTCATCACAATATCATTCTGAAACCCATTGAGTTTATCAAATAACCGGTAAACATCACAATCTTTATCACATATAGTCAGAATATCATCCATGTATCTTCTGTATAAAGTTGTCTTTATTAATTTTCATATAAAATACCCTGGCAAGTATATGTGTGACCAGATTTTTCGAAATGTATAGCGCAAATACATCACATTTTTCAGATCAACTCCATCTTTACAGTGTTCCATAAAATAGTTTACTTACTAGAATATGGCAACACAATTGCACATATTATTTTAATTAATCAATAAAATTTGATCAAATATGTGTGCTTTTTTATTACAAAAAGCAAACTAAATAATTATCTAGAAATTGTTGACTAATTAAAGACAGTCTATTAGAAAACTTTAAGCTTAAATAATTTTCATACTATTACCAGATAATAATCATTTAGTGACCCATGGTTTATCTCTGACTCCAATTAGATCATGTGATTATCGTCGATTCTCATATATAATTGTCGACTTAACCCGTGTTATGGTGAATGAGAACACAAACGGCGATAATCGAATGTATTTGAGCATAAAATTACACAACATCTTAGTAAAATCTGAGAACCATACAGTAAATACTTCATTTGCAAAATGACAATCAAATGTCTTAGACTTCATTGTTCTGTCACTTTTTACATCAATCGTTCTTTGTTCTCGTTATCTTTTCTTTGATCTTAACCTTCTGCCGCCAGGCGTTTCACTTTCAAATGATGATACATACTACTTATATCTATAAATCAGGAAGAAGCGCTGGAAGTGGATAGGACACACATTGAGGAAAGCACCCAACTGCGTCACAAGGCAAGCCCTCACATGGAATCCTGAAGGTCAAAGGAAAAGAGGAAGACCAAAGAACACATTACGCCGAGAAATGGGAACAGACATGAGAAAAATGAACAAGAATTGGATGGAACTAGAAAAGAAGGCCCAGGACAGAGTGGGTTGGAGAATGCTGGTCAGCGGCCTATGCTCCATTGGGAGTAACAGGCGTAAGTAAGTAAGTAAGTAACTACTTATATCTGTCAATATCAGTAACACACACTACACTCGTCCCCCCATTTAGAGCAGCCGTTCTTGCAGTGGTTCTGCTCGCCGTGACGATTTCTTCTTTTCTGCAGTCTGTGCCACGCTCTCCATCAGAATGTCGGGCGCGCTGACCTTCATAGCTCCACTGACCTGATGGACTATCAAAATCTGACATTCATCCAGGATCCACGACGTTCAACACCTGCACTCCAGCGACCTGCTAAACCACCTACATCCGATGTCCGCCCACCAGTCGCACATTTCACCGCTTCTCTCCATCGACCACATCCGCTACAATCAACACCACCCTATTAGAACACTCCAATCGATGTCACGTCCCCACACCAAACAGCCGCAACTAGCACCTCAGGTCCAAGTTCGCAATGGCGTCCGCAGAACGGCAATCCCCTCCTCCTGGTTGTCATGGACACCAAGTGTAGTGAGTGAGAACACGAGGGGGGACAATCAAATGTATTTGAATACAAAATTACAGAATCTCTTAGTAAAATCTGAGAACCATACAGTAAATACTTCATTTGCAAAATGTCATTCAGTTGTATCGAACTAGACTGATTCTTCTTTTCCACACCAATCACTCTCTGTTCTTGTTCTCTTCTCTTCGATCTTTTGCCGTCAGGTATTGCACTTTCGATTGGTGATACATACTACTTATATCTGTCGACATCAGTAGCACATACCACAGCGTTACTGAATCCAGACTAACCTATCTGGGCTCAACACAGGACCAGTCACTACAATCAGACAGTTGAATTCCAGTTTTATCATTCTTGACATGTGAATTTCAGAATTATATCTTCTATTCTAAAATGTTTTACATAAAGATATTTAAATGGTTTTACAACTGTGCATGATTGATGGCTTAACTAGAAACATACCCAAATGCCCTGGTACGGCCAAGAGAGGGGAGAATCCGCTCTCCCTCTCGAAATACTCTCACATGAACACGCGTATATAGCCTCTGACAGGGAAGTCCTACTCACTGCTTTCTCGTGGCAGGGGTGTTGCTTACCAAATTGAGAGGACAAAAAGCGAATGTCCGGCGCTTTAACTATCTTGGTGGACATGGAAAGTCTATCTAGGGGAATTGGAAAACCCTCATTCCAAACAAATGGTACACATGGGCTCCAGTATCCTGAAGGAACAAATGGAGTATGAACCAATTGTTGGTCACCAGCTACCATGAGACTGCATCTCCTTACGATGCTCCACTGTCTTGTGGATCGGACGTTCATGTCGAAGGCTCCAGGCGTGGCCCCATAAGAAAACTACCTGCTTCGGTTTGAGCACCCCGTCAGTATCACAGCCCTCACACAAGTCAAATGAAATTTGTATGGCGCATATCTATTTGGTGCCTCATTGTACCAATATTTATGTGTTAAAATAAATAAATAAATAAATAATAAGTAGATCAGATATCGAACATACAATGAGGTCTCTCAATTATAATCAATATAAAATGTAATTCAAATACAAATCGGTTCAAGTTGTCACATCTAGTCAGTACAATGAGATGTGAATTATCAAAAGAAATCCCAGAATAGTAGAAGTATCAATATTGATGATACTAACAAATCTAGATAATAGTTAATATGATTCGACAAGAAAGAATGAGTTCATGAGATAAAAATTACGAGGTAATTTTAATGCTCACCATTTAATGTATCCAATTACTTATCACAATAATCTCACAGAAACCTATCAGTTCAGTTAGTCTACCGCTAACAGCACGGTTCAGTTTAACAGTCTAACTTTATAAATTGATAACACAATAAAACAAGTTGAATGCAATAACAAATCCATCCGAATAATATCAATACATTTATTTGGAAATTGTTTTTTTAACGAAAGGAATTCAAAAACCTAATTTATATGTTCCAAACTGCACTAACGTAAATATTGAATTGTTCTAGTAATTTCAGTAATTAAAATCATATTATAAATTTAATTAAACAATCGTACTGTACTTTTGCATTATTTTTACCATTTAAACTGTCTTGGACTGTAAGATAGATGCAGATAACTAAAGGAAACTAGTGATGCTAACTAATGAGGCCATTAATTAATAGCCTGAATTATATCATATAAATATAGATTTCCTGATTGAAATGTTCAAATATAAATTAGTGATACTGTTGTACTTATCATTTATCTACACCGAAATATTGAGCGACAGAGTAACATTCCTCATGTTTGGATTTCCAATCGCAAATGAATATTGTTATTTCAACTACACTGCTTTGAAATTTTCTAATTTTTTTCACTTGTTTTTGCTAAGGTGCCGTAAATTCGGTCGATATACAGTTGCATACAACTGACCTACAAACCTTCGTATACAAATCTCGTCCAATCTGGATTAATAATTAATTAAAGTGGTTTTTCTCTCTTATTAGGACTAAGTAATCTGTGTAAGTTAATTTCACATCTGTAGGGAAGCTAATCTCAGAGTCTGCTTAATGACTTTCAACATAGTCTGTTTAAGATATTCACCCATTCATGATACAAATAGTCAACCTGATGTACAACCGTTACAAGATCCAATGGTTTAAAGTTAGTCTGAACTAAATGTTTCATAGTGTAGGAAGTTGTGCAGACTGATCAATTTCATAGTTCCACATTACAAACTGACTTGAGTATGATATTTATTTGAAGTCACGAAGCACTCGATAGCTACCTGGTCCTATTTTAGGGATCCTGCAGTGACAATGTGTATCCACGACCCCACTAGGGAACAAGCCTAGCTTCTGAAATAAATACTGTTCCATCGGTCAGTTAAAGTTTTTAACAAGGTCATTTAGGTTGTTAGAGGTGTATGAGCGGCCATTACTTCCCAGTTTCATACATTGTGGAAGGGTAGTTTTTGAGATATCAGGAAGCGGAACTAGATTCGTAGTGCTTTTGGCGACCTAGGAGCATAACCGCAGTGCTAAAGAGACAAGTACCTGTAGCCGGTCACACATGGCTTTTCTGCAAATTCTTTATGTTTTAGCTCCATACTTTAAAGTTGAGGACAAAGATCCATGGGTAAGGTGGTGTGGTATTTTGGGGTCGACTTTATCCGACCTTCCTCTCCCGTCATAGAAAAACAGCATCACTACAGATGTTAGTCGTCTGAGGGAAATACCTTATTGGTGTTACACTTCAGAATAGTCAGCATCACGACTTTTTCCTCGGACCTAACATTACCGCTTTTAGTCTAACCGATATTCCTAGCATGTTACGTCCTAAAGAAATGTGTCCTATTCATTATTGGCTCAATTCGGTTACCATAATAAACAATCCTGACCACCATATTAAAGCAACAACAATGATCTTCAATTAGTGCAATTCATTTACCAAGCACAAGTTTCTACACGTTCGGCTTTGAGTTGCATGCTTTTGGTATTTAGATGGTGGTTGGAGGTAGTCAACAGGAAACCCTGGACCCGGGTTTCGTGCTACTTGACACTCGTCAGCAAGGTGTGCCTGTAGTCTTGAGGGAACTGGTGCTCCCTGGCGGATCCGATCTCGTGTCACCCAGCTTCACAGTCAGAGACGTTGACTACCTCCAACCACCATCTAAATCTCAATACATAGTGCCCGCAGTGTCGAGTCACCTAGAGTGTTGGCCACATTTCAACATGATCGATAGCATTCGATCTGCACTAATAAGGACTAGACAAGCATGACATTGATCACCACCCAGTGATCAATCAATTGTGATGCTTTTGGTATGATAAACAGCTATACTTTTACTTAGCAGCTCTAACCGAACCTTGGACCTACTTAGTTGAAAATCAATTATGTACATACTTCGATTTCAGTACTAAACTTTACTGATTGAATTATCTTATCAGTAGACGCAGAAAATTAATACATTAATGTGTCATCCAGTAAGAAATTGTTCCAGTCAATTCAAACGATATATTTACTACCATAAATTGATATTTGATTTAAGAATATAAAACACATAATTATGACTGTATATTTTGTGCACAATTACACAGTACAATGAATTCATAGTCGAATCATTTAAAACAGCAACGAAACACACAAAATAAATCAGTAGTAAGTGTTTCAGTAATGATTCATTGTAACACAAAGACATACACATAAAATATTATAATAAGTTTAATTGGAAAACAAGCGATGATAATTCCAGAAATCAAAATACACACAGGTAAATAAGATCCATTTGTTATTAGTTTGTATCTTTATTCTTCATGTATTTACGATTGATGAATGGACAAAATCGAACAAACAAAAGATTACATGAAAAAGGTGTATGCATGTGTGTGTGTGTGTAAGAGAGAGAGTCGAAAGTAAGAAACAGTAATACCCTATTCCCTTTTTGCCTTAGAATAAAAATCCGAATTATTATGAATACGGATTCAGTGAGTTCTCGGATGTCATAACACAAAGTATTCAAATATGACAAATACTGTCATATGTTATTGACAACTTGAAAGGATAGAAATGTAGTTCACAAACAGAAGAAATAACATATTAGCATTAGAGCAAGAAATATACTCACTGCTAAGAGATGTATGATTACTATTTTAAGTATGAATAATAAGTGTGTTATCGTAATGTTAAACAGAACATATCATCATAATCTTAATAACAACAACAATTATAAGTCGATGATTCGTGAAGTTTAAGTCTGATATAAGGGCCCAACTGAGATTACAACTCTTATAATTGATAGGACAAATGATGAAAGAATGTGAATTTTATGAAATATTAATTTTCAGATGATGTTTACGTCATATTCTAGCTCTGAAGTACACAATCTTATTCATTATCCATCCATACATATATGCACGAATAGCAATGGTAAAAGTTGATATAATCACCTTTCTTAACAATTACAGAATAACAATAAAACAGCCTTTTTTATTTTAATGAATAGAAAATTGAAGAAAAGAATAGGGATGATCAACAACGCACACATACAAACACACAGAGACACGGAAAAAGAAAAGAGATGGGAATAATACTTCATTCATTGTAATACTCATTTGTATGTGAGTGTGATGTAACTATATTTGTCTTTTTATGTTTTGGAAATTATTCAGAACGTTTATTCAGACTTATTATTTTTTATGAATCTCTATTACCAAAAAATGATAGAATAATTAAGAATAAATTGACAACATCCAAGTATAATTGTAAAGCACCAAATATATATTCTTCTGCGCTAAGTTCTAACTCTCGTCCACCGATAATATGTTGTGTATCAAAAGCCAGATACTGAAAAAAAAATTACAAATATACACAATAAACTCAATATATAACTGAGAAATATTGAGAAATGATGCACAAACTAGAATATTATAAATTACGTTGTAAGTTTGAATCTCACTCTATCTATTTTAAGTTGGCCTAGTGGTCTAGAGGCATGATACTCGCTTTGGGTGCGAGTGGCCTCGGGTTCGAATCCCAGCTGGACCCATACTTTAGCCTCCAAATGCCCTGGTATGGCCGAGAGAGGCGAGAGTCCGCTCTCCCTCTCGAAATGCTCTCACATGAACACGCATATACAGCCTCTGACAGGGAAGTCCTACTCACTGCCTTCTCGTGGAGGGGGTGTTGTTTACGAAAATGAGGGGACGAAAAGCGAATGTCCAGCGCTTTAACGAGATCCCAAACCAATGGTGCACATGGACTTCAGTATCCTGAAGGAACAAATGGCGTATGAGCCAGTCGTTGATCACCGGCTACCATGGGAATGCATCTCCTTACGATGCTCCACTGTCTTGTGGATCAGACCTTCAGGTCGAAGGCTTCGGGTGTGGCCCCCTAAGAAAACCACCTACTTCGGTTTGGGCACCCGGACAGTATCACAGCCCTCATACATATCAAATGAGATTTGTGTGGCGCCTATGTATTGGGTGCCTCCTTGTACCAATATCTACGTGTTAAAATAAAATAAAGAAAAATAAATTTCAAGTTTGGTGAACAAGTCAATCGAATGGTAGCATTGGTGCCCAACACATACAAAAAAATTCAATCCAAAACTGAGTATTTATAAATCTGGATTTAGTGAACTCTAAGGGGTGAAGTTTCACCCCACCTATATTGATTTTAGAAGTGAAATGATGTAATAAACATACTTTTAAACTTAAAATATGAGAATATAGGATTGGAATTATTAGTTTTAACAGTAAAGAATTAGATTATCTAGCTGTTATGTAATGAAGATTACTACATCGTTGAGCAATGAGAGTTTGAATTTTGAAAAACATGTACATTCTCTTGGTACTGAGCACTAGCAAGAAAAACACCTAGATCAAGAATTTCCTGTCAATACATTTTTCCTTCAATAAACCACGTTTGAAACAGTTTGTACGAAATAGAATTAGAAACAAAACTGTAAATACTTACATCAAGTAAAGTATATATTAAAAAGCCTCTGATTACATTGTATTTTGTTGTCCATAACAATATTAGGCAACTAACAGCTCACTTAGTATAGAAAGTTAAGTAGCTATAAGGAGTGGATGTTTTAAAGAACTAAGATTTAGTAACCACAGTGGGAATTACTCTCACAAGAAAAGTTAACAAATCAATAGAGCTCAGTAAAAACAAGTGTAAACATACCACACCAAACAACAAGGCTGCGAGTCCACCATAAACGACTTGCAAAATCTAATTGGAGATAAGAGAGAAAAATACATATAAATATTGGTTATTTGAGAACTCTTTTTATGAATTCATGTTCACCATACTATGGAAAAAAGATATAATTTATTGAGGAGTATCAGAATAGTAGTATTTTAATGGAAAAATTAGATGACTAACTGGACATATCTTTGAGCATAAACATTGAGAGAACCATGAAATATAACACAAGAAATAATGTAAGTTATTTGTTACATACAGGTGGGATTACCGAATGACTAATATTGAGGTTAGACTCATGGTAGTAGGCAAAGATAACAAATCGGTAAGTGGGGTAATGAATCTGAACCAACTGAGGTGGTTACGATATGTATTATGAATGCTCAACCATTGCCTATCTCGACCCATGATATTCGCCAGTGTAGGAATAGGTTGGAAGAAAGCAAATGGTGACTAAACCAGGAAGCGACATTACTCTATGAAGTTAATGACTGTCGGATCGAATCGTGTATGTAGATTGGTTGAGGTCAACGCGATAACTATGATCAATTTCAAAATTATCTCACACATTTCTACTTCACGAATCCATTCTTTCGTTCCTAATTATACAATTCATGCCCAATCTTTTCTAATATCAATGATACTGTTACTACTTCTACCGCTGTCATTTATCCTTACAATCTTATTTCATCGTACTAAAATGTTGTGGTAACTTGAACCTATCCATATATGGGCCAGGCTCTATATTTCCTATGACTGATTGACTGACTGACCATATACAGATTTGTGCGCACCACCACACTTCAAACGTAAAAAAGCTTGTCATATACTATGCGGTTGTTCAAACTGAATTCGATGGATACAACTTCAAACCTATTGTCCAATAGTTAAAAAACTAATTCTGTAACCCATAAATAACTGCTTAGATCAAACTGAAAATGACTGAATCAATACTTTGTTTTACATTGAAGCTTTTCATTATTAGTAAACAATTCCGACCTCCTTTCGTACAGAGTTAAGTATGGTTAATATGTCTAAACTATTAATTCACTGCTAGCTAAGTCGTTAAATCAGAATTCATGAACCAGTATTGATTTTGAGATTTAATATACATGTATAAATTGATATATAACTCAAATCTAATGGTATAATGTTCACACTTAAATTTACTGCGCTTACTATGTTTCGATTAAAAAAATATTCAAAATAATTGGTTAACATTTTTCGCTATATTTAATCTTTGTTTGCTAAGTAAAAATTGTTTGTTGCCTACGCAACTTAAAAAGGTAACAAGTAAAAAAAACTACGACTATGATATATTTTGATTCCTTTTTTCTCATTCCACCATAATACCACATAACTATGTCCTGTTATTTTTAGATATGATGGCAATGCAACAATTTATTAATGAGGTCGCTTATATACATTGTTGTTGATGAGTCTTGTATCAAGATGATACAATCAATCGGTGTCTTCAGGTTTATGATAGAGTTGTTGTCTAGATAACATCAGTCTATAATTTAAAACTACAAATTGAACAGTTTACACAAAATCATCCATACTATAATGATGACTACTTTATATCATTATTAGAAAAGATTTGAATTATTCTGTTGTGTATATTAACGATTAAGGTTTTTTGGTATAAATACATCCTGTGCAGAATGTCTAGATAGAGTCATTTGTTATAAATGTTATCGAATAAATGGATTATTTAAAGTGAAAGACATCGGGTTCGAGTCTCAGTGTGAAAATCAACACTGGGATACAGTTGTATCCAACTAATTAGTTCCTAAAATGATGAGACGAACATCCTAAATTCCATTGCTAGCCATAGTTTGTTTAAACTATGAAGTAACCATTTGTATTGATCGTTTGAATATATCCATTGATGTTTAGGAGTACAATTGATCAGTCTCTTTTGGCATAATGTACATCCTGTAGGAATTGCTTCGATATTGTCTTAAATTACAAGCATTATAAGCAGAGATGGATAGTAGTGGCTAACAAGGGGTCCAAAAAGCGCATTTCATCCTATTTGGGACTCTTCAGCTGGGCATACCTGCAGTCAAGTCTTAGAGTGAACATCAACTCTGAGATGCAAGTACATCCAGTTGACGAGTCCCATATAGGACGAAACAAGGGTCTTGATATCCACTGCTAGCCACAACTTACTTCTACTTATGAAATAATCTCTCTTCTTTTTGTGTGTAACGCACAATCTCATTGTTCTATTACATGAAATAAATTAAGCAAACTATGAATACAATTCAATGATTCAAAATATTAAAACTTACCCGATTCGGTCCGGATACAGCAAAAACAATGACACAAGCAAGTCCAGTTAACATTACCACAATACTTAATACAAATATTAAAGAAGTACATTTTGTAATATCAATTCGTGTTTGTATAGCAAAAACAGAAATTGCTATACATAGACAAGCTGTTATAACAACAGCAACTAGAACAGATTGAGTGTCGTAAAATGATGTAATTGTACCCGTCATATAAGAAAATGCCAGTGTCTGAAATAAATAAAAATAAACAGTTAATGGCAGTAAGAAATAATAATAATGATAATAAAACATTCAGGCAAAATGTGAATCTATAAAGGTACCAGTAACACTGTTGATTGGAACGTAGGTAATGGTGGTGTGGTTGTTACCGTAAGTATTTGTATAGATGCTTTTATCAGTATAAATAAAAAATAAAAATTCTCTAATACTTGACTCGAACTACTACTTATTTTAAGCAATATTAGCATGATATTATATGGCTTAATCGCTGGTAGTCGGCTTTATAGTTAAAGCACAAAACTTTTGATTAATAGGTTATAGGTCCGAAGCCCACCACATAATATGAGCGAGTAGTATCATTAATTGTTATCATAGGAAGAGTTTGGTTAGAATTCGAGTAAATTAAATAATACTTATTAAATGAGTTACTGTCTAGATTGGTTGATATATATATTTACACAAGTTGCTACTTGGTATGAATCAAGTGCCTTTACATAATAAAGTCAATATCTGGATCTATCGATTAAGATATTATTTTACAGTACTTAGTATTCAATTAACATAATGACAGTGAAGTTATGTTAAACTTTATGATACTTAACTAATATTCAGAAAGATACACCTTTACATGGTTACTCTTCATAATAAGATCTCTTAATTGTCGACTTGAAATATGCAGACAATAGTCTTACTATAGCAACCATACTGTGAAAGTAATACTCCCAGATATCTTCATAGATTTTGCATATAAGGAGTAGGTTACATTTACTTTCAGTCCAATCATAGGAAATGAAATTATTCAACTGACTAATTGTTTTACATTACTAAAATAATTCAAGGTTAAATATAGATTTCGAGATTGAAATAAATCGAATTAGGCATAGAGAAGAGGTTTTATAAGTTTATAGTTGTTCATTTTATTGAAATACACATGTACTGTCCTCATAAAATGACATGAGTAAAACTATAAATATAAAAATGTTACTTGTTTCATTAAGAATACACCTGGTTATAGAAACAGAGTTGATCATTTGTCTGTGAACACATTCAGGAAACAGTAACAATTATTAATTTTATAGCCCCAAATGCCTTGGTATGGCCGAGAGTGGGGAAAGTCCTCCCTCCCTCTCGAAATGCTCTCACATGGCCACGCGTACACAGCCTCAAACAGGGAAGTCCTACTCACTGCCTTCTCGTGGAGGGGGTGCTGTTTACGAAATTGAGAGGACGAAAAGCGAATGTCCGGTGCTTTAACCGGATCCCAAACCAAACCAATGATGCACATGGGCTCCAGTATCCTGAGGGAACAAATGGCGTATGAACCAATTGTTGGTCACCGGCTTCCATGGGACTGCATCTCCTCACGATGCTCCACTGTCTTGTGGATCAGACCTTTAGGTCAAAGGCTCGGGGTGTGGCCCCCTAAGAAAACCATCTGCTTAGGTCTGGGTACCCGGTCAGTATCACAGCCCTCACACAAATCTAATGATTTATGTGGCGCATATCTATTTGGTGCCTCCTTGTACCAATGTTTATATGTTTAAATAAATAAATAAATAAATAATTATACCCCTTAAAGCTTTATGAACTATCAAGATATTTTAGTTGAAATGAAAGCCCTATGGTTAAGGATGATATACCAAGTACATATATCTTGTAACTTCTCTATTACAATATAGATCTAACTACGGAGTCAATGACTGTTAAATTGAGCCATATCAGTAGGGTTCTTATGATTATCCTAACCAATAGTTGATGTTGTGTGATATGATTCAAAATCAGTCACAATAATGCAGATTCACTAACACTGTATCTTCCTTAAAATTTCCAGTTGTAAAACTACTTGATCTTTTTCTACCCTATGAATGCATTCCTTCCTGTTAAAGCATATTATCTACACTTGCCTAATCTCTTCTTCTTATTTTACTACTACTACTACTCTGTTTTTATAATTTCATCTCATCGTGTTGAGATGTTATGGCAACTTGAACTGATAGAAATATTTCTTAAATTCTACGTTGTTTATGATTGACTGAATGTCGATTGAACTAACATAATATTTCTACAGACTAATTAACACTATGAATTATTCTGCATTATTAACAAAATGATGAGATGATTTATGAGAAAAAATTTAATGAACAACTATGATTCTATTCTACTTAACTACTATTAAATAAATATCTACATACTAGAAAGTTTGTAGATTTATACAAAACAAAGATGTTTTTGTTTTAAAATGAAAAAAAGAAAGAAAAAGAAAACACTTACAAAAACAGATAAAGCGATCACATTTCCAGGATATCGTCGTCTTACACTGGGACAACAAACCAATGCGATATAAGTGCATAAAAATGTAGCACTAATGTATAAAATACAAAGAGAAATCAATAAATTCAATTAACACAATTGAGAAATTTAAAATTAGGGGAAAAAAACTGTTTCAATGGAAACACAAAGTGGACAGGTGAAAACATTACTGGTATTTAAGATAGTTTTTGATGTTAAAAATTGTAATTGATAATTGATATTATTGTTACTCATCTACTAAATATAAATTTACTCTACTGGCCCCATTCGGTCACATTGTTTATGTGCGAGTTTGTGATATTATTCGGATACATGAAATCGAAGTAGATGTAATTGGGTTCGTAAGGTGAGTCATTAAACTATTAGATCATATTCAGTATTAATTATAACTTCAGTACAATTTAAAGTGATTAAGTGATACTTTGTTAGAGTTTTATACTACACAAAACCAAAAACTTGATCGACGAGCGTTAGCGGGATACAAACCTGTCTATTGCATGCTCTGAACAGACTCAAATCAAAACACGCTGATATGTCCATTTCCAAACAATGAATCGGGATGTTAGGTTTTTATATAAAAAGTCTATAAAAACTATGTTTTTACCACCTAGATTTTTGTTATTTGAGTTTATGTACCATTCCTCAATTCATGTTTTGATTTGAGACGATTCCAGTGAAGTATCATGATCAGGGAATACTGGGGAATAAGAGAATATTACGAAGTTATATTGTTGATACGATACAAAGTTGAACAAACTAGCTATGGGTTTTGTATAAGAGTAGAAGACTGATAAAGACATATTTTATCTCATTGACGAAAATGTTGCACAATAATTAGCTGTACAACATAACTATCTTGCGTTGATTATTAGTGCTTTTTGCTTCAAATGTGAAAGTTATGAGTAAGTGCACATGAAAGCAACGCCTAACATAACACCAACCTGTGGTCTGTCTAGGGTTACTGCCGGTTCAAAGCTCAGGTAAAAGAGGGGGCTTGGGCATGGAGTTAGCAACCTAATCTAGTAGAAAACAACCTTGATAAAAAAACCCAACCAGGAAAAATCATTTAAATTCTCTCTTGGTAGTTGAAGGACCTTCATTCTGAAGAATTGTGATGCCTCATGATGAAAGCCGACATTCTTCGGAAGTTATGAGGGCGATGCCTCTTCTAACAACCAGAGCAACGACTAATATAGGTACATGGAGTGTCCAGACAACGCGAGACTGAAAGGACCAGTCAAATAGTTACTGAAAGAGGAGATATGATTTGTTGGTGCTCGGAATCAGTGAAACCCATTGGACCCAAGCTGGATAGAAAAGGTCAAGTACGAGAGAGATGCTGGTGTACTCCTATCACGAATAGGAAAATGCGCCACAGACTCAGGGAGCTGCTCTGATGTTGTGCAAAGAAGAACTAAATGCCTTGTAGGATAGGAATCTCATGGACCCAAGATCATCAAAGCATCCTTCAAAACAAAGGAGAAAATTACAATGAATGTTATCCAGTGTTGCGCACCCACCAATGACAGCAACGACGATTATAAAGATCAGTTCTATGAGAAGTTGCAATTAATCGTAGCGAAGTGCCCAGGAAAGGACCTAACCATTCTGATGGGAGGCCTAAACGCCAAAGTCAGAATGGACAACACCGGATATGAAGATATCATGGGACGACATGGACTGACTAGAAGGAAAGAAGCAGAATGGTGACAGATCCCCAAATTTACGTATGTTCAACAAAATGGTTATAGGCGGAACAATATTCCCACACACAAAGCTAAATGGGTCTCACCGGATCACACCACACAGAACCAGATAGATCATATTTGCATCAATAAAAATTTTAGAAGCTTCATGGAAGAAGAGAGAGCAAAGAGAGGAACTGACACATCTTCAGATCACCACCTGGTGGTTACCAAGATGAAACTAACGCTAAAGTAGCACAGGACTACTGGGGCAACATCATTACAAAAGTTCAATACAGCCTTCCTTCGACATACTGACAAACTCAACGAATTCAAGATAGTTCTCATAAACAGGTCCCAAGCCATACAAGATCTACACAAAGAGGAAACCATTATGGAGAACAACCGGAAAGGGACCAGAGAAGCATTCACTTCAACATGCTAGATGATGAGCCTCAAGAAATATCATCGCAAACAATGGATCCCCATCGACACCCTGGATACGATTCAAGAAAGCAAGAACAAGAAGATAGCAATCAACAACTGTCGAACAAGGACAGAGAAAGTCAAGACACAGACCGAATACACGGAGGCAAACAACCGAATGAAGAGGAGCATTAGAACCGACAAGCGAAAATATGTGAACGACCTAGCAATGACAGCGGATAAAGCTGAAAGAGAAGGAAATATGGGAGAGCTACATGATACAATGGAGACACTAGGAGGGAAATATAGTAAACCAAAGCGACCAGTCAATTTACAAAAAAGGAAAGCCAATCACTGAGGTCCAAGAGCAGCGGGACAGGTGGATAGAACACTTTGATGTGCGCTTCAATAGACTAGACCCATTGAGCTAACCTGGCATCGAACAAACGCCCACAAACATTCCTGTAAATTTTACCGCATCAACAATCGAAAAATCACTAATGTCATCAGACAAATCAAGGGTAGGAGAGCAGCAGAACCAGATAACAAACCCTCGAAGGTATTAAAGTCAGACATAAAAGTACCTGCAAATATGTTTCACGTACTCTTCAGATAGATTTTGGAGGAAGAACAGGTACCAACAAATTGGAAAGAAGGATACCTCATCAAAATGCCAAAGAAATATCCTAGTAAATTTGAGGACTGGAAAAGCATTACAGTACTAACAGTGCCAGGCAGTTTTCAACATAATGTTGCAGAACTGAATGAGAGATTTAATGGACTCTCAACTTTGAGGCCCACAGGCTGAATTCCGTGAGGATCTATCGTGCACAGACCAAACCGCAATACTACGGACTATCGATGAACAATCAGTTGGATGGAACTCGTCACTATAAATCATCTTCCTTGACTATGAAAAAACATCTGACAATGTGGACAGAAGCTTATTAAGGAACCTTCTTCGACAAGATGATGCATCTGAAAAAATTGACATCATACGAAATTCTTACGACGGACAACACTGCAAACCCGTACATGGAGGACAGCTGACAGATGCATTCCAAGTGAAGACCAGTGTCAGACAATACTGTTTAATTTTACCATTTCTCTTTCTTCTGGTGGTTGACTGGATTATGAAGACCTCCATACTTCGTGGGGAAGCACGGAATATAATGGACAGCTTGGATGCAGCTAAACGATTTAGACTTCGCAAATGACCCAGCTCTTCAGCCCAAACACAGCAACAAATTTAGGTGAAGACGGCAGTGTAGCAACAGTTTATGAAGCAGTAGGCCTCAGCACACACAAGGGAAAAAGTGAGATCTTAAAATACAATACAGCCAACACCAACCAAAATACACTTGATGGAGAAGCTCTGGAAGAAGCGGAAACATATAATTACCTGTCCAGTATCATGGATAAACGAGCATGATTTGATGCAGATGTGCTGGCACGGACTGGTAAGGCAAGGACAGGATTCCTGAAGTTGGGGAACATCTGGAATTCAAAACAACTGCCAGCCAACATCAAAGTCAGAATCTTCAATAGAAACATCGAGACGGTTCTATTGTACGGAGCTAAAACTTGGAGTTACTACAACCATTATAAAAAAATTACAGGTATTTATAAACAGTTTTCTATGCAAGATACTCCAGATCCGTTAGCAAGACACCATCAACAATGACCTATTGTGGAAGAAAACAAACTAGATTACAGTTGAGGAAATCAGCAAAAGATACAAAGTGGATGGGTCACACATTGTGGAAATCAACAAACTAAATCACAAGGTTAACCCTGAATTGGAACCCTGAAGGCAAAATGAACAGAGGTAGACCAAAGAACATATTACGCTGCAGATTGGAGGCAGGAGTAAAACGAATTAATGGAACTTGAGGTTAACTGAAATGGGGAGCTCAAGATAGAATTATTTCGAGATCTCTGGTTGGAGACCTATGCTCTAAGAGAGGTAACATGAGTAAGCATAAAAACATAACTATAGTCTATCGGATTTCTCTTTACTTTGTTGATAATGTTCAACGTGTTTACAAAGCGGTTGTATGGATTATTTATAGTCATAGTAATTAACAAACGCTTTGATTTTTTTATCACCTAAGTTAGGTGTAACAATAATACTTAATTATCTCATGAATGATTCTTGATAAAGTATCAGTATTAACCATCAAAGTATTAAAATAGGATGTTGACGGATGAATATAGCAAACTAGTTGGGTGGTAGAGATAAATAATCACGGAGTAAAGAATTAAAATAACTGGTGAATATATACTAAAGGGTGGAATTACTGACTAAATAGCTAAGTAGATTCGTCATCGAATATACTTTCACTTATATACAGAAGGTAATATAAATATAAAACCTTAACGAATGGTCAGTAAGGACTGATTTGTGTTTATTTTATCCACTTTAAGTATTCCCTAAACCATATCTATTCCCCCTTAATTACAACTGAAATAACTGGAAACGAGTTCAAATAACTGCTAAACAGAATAGTGCTTCACTGGCTTCAGCAATCCATTTCATTTGATAACAACTTATTGTTTCTAGCAGAAATGATTTTGTTTTGATTGAGAAGTTTTGTGTATACTTTGAGTAGGTTATTGGATAAGAAACCAACAGTTTGTAATACGTTAGGTGGATGATGGGATGGGGTAACTAATAACGTATTTTACATACTACTAGAAAGAAATACTACGAACCAGTAAACTCGTTAGTAAAATCACTATACTGTTTGAACTAATAAATTTAATTCGAAATTCCGCTGACAGGAAAATCTAGGCGCAATTTCTAATATATTTTCGTGGGTCATAGGGATTTAACGTCTATAAATTTATAAATCCATGGAAAAGGGGTCATTTAAAGTCCTTCAAAATACAGTAATGGTGGAATAAAAGGAAAAATGAGACTTATCTACATGATCATTTGAAGAGAAAAATTTAACTTACTAGGACAAATAATAAAACCATGAATTTTTTGAAACCCATTTTTTTACCGGCGATCTGTTATAAAATGATAAAGATTTTTTAGTAAAATTGGTTTTCAGCTTACGAAAACAGAAAGACGCAAACAAATGCTGAAGTTACTAACAACTGAGCCGTTAAAATTAGATAGACCTAAAAATAACAAGCGGTGGGGGGAGATATTGTTAGTATGAATACACAGAAAACAACCTTTCGAATGAAAGCATGTCTAACATATTTGTCAGAATACTGTAAGCTGGTAAAATTTCCATTGCGATTATATTTTGGCTCCTGATCCGATGGATTATCCTGATATCCTGCAGGCTCAGAGTATGGTCCAACTGCAAATCCAATATTGGGATAAGGCGCTTAAGTACATAAAAACAAAGGAAAGGAACAAAAGATTAGTTATTTATTTGGAAAAATATTCTGACTCAGAAATACAGTCACATAGATTATATTATGCTTGGTGTGAATATCAGTAATCGTGTATATATTCGGGTACCACAATTCAACTACTATGTACCGTGTACATAACGACAACGTTGTTCAACCTTCCAAATGGAAGATGGTGTTTGGTTGAGTTTGAGAAATATGTTTCAACTATCGTGTTATACTCCGAGACCATTAGCCCTCCACTAGCTTTTCTCTTACTATGACACGACATAACGTACTGAGGAGACTGATAATCAATAAGTTTGTGTTCTGTTGCTTTGTTCACATCATAGCCTAGGTAATCATAAAGACAATCTCTCAGATGAAAACCTTTACTTTTCTAAATATAAAATTGTACGAATATAGACAAGTATATAAAAGTTTAAATCGATGATTAAAATAGGACTGTAAAGACCAATACAAAGGCTAATATAAACCACCTGAATTGATATTAGCAGCACTTTCGTAAGGTGGTGGAGGATCTCTTGAATAGTTCATGTTTGTGCAAATGTGCTTCAGTAACGATATAAATGATCACCAAACTAATATCAGTAGAATCTACAAAAAAAAAACAAGACATTAGTAACTTTAAAAAACTACATGTGGAGTTGACAGTCTTCAAAAAATTAAACCACAGCTTTTTACGCAGTAATGCCCACTCTAGACATACAGATGTAATAACGTAAAACCACGAGAAAAGTTTAAATTCAGTTTGCTAAACCTTACAACATAAGAAAAAATTAAGAAAAATGAAAGGCCGCTAAAAGAATAAAGAGAATCTGAAAATGTTGTCAAATGGTAAATGAAATGTTCATTAGTCAGAAAACAGAGAGGATAAACCTGCCGTCAATAAGTCATGTTATAAAGAATCTAGTAATTTTTTATCGTCTCAAGAACACACAGGAGGTATACAGATCTCTCTTAAATAAATAACCAATCACCCCAAGGAATAATGTTTTTGTGTCAGTCCTTTTAATCGAAGCGATAATAGTATTTTCAGTAAATATCGTCATTTCACTCTATTTGTGTGCGGGTTGTGATACTGTCCGGGTGCCCAAACCGAAGTAGGTGGTTTACTTAGGGGGCCACTCCCCGAGCCTTCCAAACCGAATCAGGCGGTTTTCTTAGGGGGCCACACCCGACGCCTCTGACCTGAAGGTCTGATCCACAAGGCAGTGGAGCATCGTAAGGAGATGCAGTCCCATGGAAGCCGGTGACCAACAATTGGTTCATACGCCATTTGTTCCCTCAGGATACTGGAGCCCATGTGCATCATTGGTTTGGTTTGGGATCCGGTTAAAGCACCGGACATTCGCTTTTCGTCCTCTCAATTTCGTAAACAGCACCCCCTCCACGAGAAGGCAGTGAGTAGGACTTCCCTGTTTGAGGCTGTGTACGCGTGGCCGTGTGAGAGCATTTCGAGAGGGAGGGAGGACTTTCCCCACTCTCGGCCGTACCAGGGCATTTGGGGGCCATGTACCTATAATCTTGAGGGAACTGCTGCTCTCTAACGGATTCGATCCCATGGCACCCAGTTTCACAGTCAGAGACGTTACCACTGGGCTATCCGGACTGCAAACCTGTAAGCACCGGAGGGCTATTTCGCCGTAATGTAGGACTCCTCAGCAGTGCACATCCACGATCCCGCCCGCGGGATTCGAACCTAGGGCCCTGTACTCACCCTGGGCGGTGAGCAGATAGAAGTAATCGAAAGTTCGTGTAACATTAATATGAGTTACTCCATGATCCCAATAGAACTGGGGTACAGGAATAAGTTGCCCTTGAAGAATTCCTAACGCTTAGTTGGGAACAATGCAACGTTTGAGATGAAAATTTATCTAGCTTCTATTCGATTTCAAAGTGTATAGGGGATTGGAATTTCACCAAAGGAAATCTAAGGAACATTAGAAAATACAACCACGCGATTCTTCTAAAAACCGATATTGATGACTTAGGTACATCTGCTTTTAGTCGGATATCAAGTTTCTACCATACTTAGTTACACTAACACATTTACGCATGAATTTTCTTCTAGGTTTCGATTTAATAATTGCTAGATGCAGGTAACTTACACTACAGATTAGGATCCAAAGATCATCACATACAATGTAAAATTTATATACAACAAATCTAAAGATGATAAATTTAACATTTAAGCAATGACCTTGGAGTAGATAGTCGGACCAAACTACACGCTTCCTAAACGATTAAAAAGTGTTGATACAAACTGCAAAGAAATCACAGCAACCATAGTAGCGAAATCTTGTGAAACTACTTTATGGACGACCTTTGAACGAATTTTTAAGTGACCTTGAGGACATTAGCCAATCAGAAGAGAGTTAGTATGAAGTGAAAATATGTAATAAAAAAGTGATGAATTACAATGGATATTCTTCTTTTACATTATTTAAGAACTTGTTGAGGTTTGATATAGGTCCAGAAGTTTTGAAATCATAGTGCATGCGGTATAAGAACTCGTCCATATGACTCCATAATAATCGTCCTCTGGAGCCGTGGTAGGGTCTTAAAAAATACTTCAGCCTAGACCACATGCCCTCAATGTTGTTTGTATGGGCTTCCCGTCGTTGGATCGAAGAAATGACGTTTGTGCACCACCACATGATGCACAAAACCAAGTCTCGAGAGGCATCTATACGCTTTCCAATCATCGGTATAGCCGCAGCTAATGTTACTGGAGACTTTATGATCCAATTTGCAACGATTATCATGGTTTGTCTTAGCCTTAGCCGTGACCGGGCAAAAAAAGTGCCAGTTCGAGCAGATTTTTTTCTACAACATATAGTACAACGAAATACAATGTCATCGCGACAGTCTGCATATCGTGCTGCGGTCATTTAATTGCCGCAGCCACAGACACAGGAACTTCTTAATAGTCCCATCTGCTGTAGTCTCTCAACGATCACCTATTCTCTAAAATCTGCTGTAAAACGATCGAATGTGAGCATCTCGCACTGAACTTAGCGCTGTGACCTTGAAATTCCATAAACGCTTCTGATTGGCTCGTCCATAAATTAGAGTCCTACCCGAAATCTTAATTTGTCCATATAATAAAATAACATTTCAGGTCTCACCGGTGAAACTATAATTTATGGACGACCTTTCAGCGACGCCAAGGTGACCTTGAGTGTCTAAATGAGGGTTATAAAGCAGTTTGAAGAATAAGGATTAGGATTTACAGTTGACGGTTAGGGTTAGGAATTAGATTT